GGAAAAAAAAAAAAAAAAAAAAAAAGCGAGAGAATGATAGACCTTGAAGTTATACCGACCTGTCTAAGGGGTAAAGTCGTCAATGTGCTCGATGGCCTCGATCGCATCGCTCGATCTGTCGGCCTTCATGTGCATCACGGACAAAGTCTGATATGTCACAGAACGGACACAATCACCAGAAAGGCTGCTGCTACAGAGCATTCCGTCGGCCTTCCAAGGACGTATACGTTCCACATGCCATATACAAGACTGCGATCATATAGTTCATAATAGATCGGAACCCGCCTCGGTCCACTCACAGCCGGGTGACAAACGCCCAACAGCCACTGCGAGAAGACAAATATGGAACGACTACCGTCTTCACCCGAATAAAACGCCCGGTCATTACAACCGCACCTGGTCTGAAAGTTCCCCCAAGTTGCGGTCTGAAAGTTCCCCCAATTACAGTTATGATGACCGGGCATTGTATTCGAGTGAAGACGGTAGTCTGAGAATCGCACAAAATGGGCAACTCAAAGGATATTCACCCTCGTCAATTAGTTAGCAAGTCGGTCAGCGCGGCCTTAGGCCGAAGTCGTCCTTCATCTCTCACACTTACTGCTCTGATGAGACCAATCAGGCGAATGGAACCGTGTCTCTCTCTTCCTACCGTAGTTCCGCTCTTACTCTCACTTGGAGAGCACTCTGGGAAACGCCTGACCATCTCTTGTCCAATCAGGCCGAAGTCTATTCCGATGGCTATTCCGATGGCTATTCCGATGGCTATTCCGATGGCTATTCCGATGGCTATTCCGCCTGCCCAATCAGGCCGAAGTCTATTCCGATGGCTATTCTGGGAACAAGGGAGACTAACTTCTTCCCGAAGCTGTAATCTTCTCGCAACATTGCTCACCATATCTTGTCGCACCTACAGCTCTGATAAGACAACCACGCAATAGGACAATCCTAGCACTCTCGGAAACGCCTCCCCTACTCCACAGTCTACTCCGATGGCTATTCTGGGAACAAGGGAGCCTTAACTTATTCCAGAAGCTGTAATCTTCTCGGGACATTTATCAC